TGGCAAATAAATAAAATAATATATTTCAAATAACATGCACGCATAAAGAAATCTTTTAAAAGAGAATTTCACAATCTACTCAAAGGGGCTTCGCAGCCTCCTTAATCATGTCGTAAAAGGCGACTAATTTGGAACTTGCTGAGATGTCTAAAGACACGGATATGGCAGACACGGATATGGCAGCATAGCTGTAAATTAGACGACAACGCGCCGTCTACCCATCTAACGGCAGAAGCAGAAAATATTTATCTAAGGTAAACTTGATTTTTTTTTTTTAAAGTAAATTACCTGACTCGGCAAAAGAAAGCAAAAATAAACTCATGGAAACACGCCTCAAATTGGTAGACAGGGAAAAAGGATTATCATAAACACTAGAACATAATGTTTACGTTAGCAACCCACGCAAATCTAGTTACGACTTTTGCCACGGCAACGTTTTACCAAGTTCTCGCAAAATGTATCTACTGTAGGGAATGGACACTTTTAACTGGTGATATTTATATATATAAATATTTGTGACGTAGCCACAACAACAACCGCGGAACTCCGGGAAGGGTACACTGTGTTGTCTTTCTGCATGGTCATACGATAGCGGAAACAGTTTTACGAAGTGAGAAAGTCGTATCTCGTTTCGTGTTGCTTGTCACAAGCTGACGAAGAGTGTGTCTCGAAACGTTGGTTGTTTTCATAATTTTGGTTGCTGAGATGAGATACAGGCGATTTTAATTTCTATCATACGTGGCAATTTTAAGAATCTGATGGTGTTTCTTTTCTTCTTTTTTGAGTTCTTGTTCTTGTTCTTTTTCTTTTTCGTCTTCTTCTTCTTTCTTTTTTTTTCTCTTCCTTTCCTTTTGGAAAAATGGAAACGAAAGAGACAAAGGGAGACAGAGAGAAGATGCTGGGCAATCTGACATCATGGCGTGGAAGAACATCTATGTTAGAAGTGGTTGAAAGTAAAGGAGACAGAAGGTTGTGGACAGACAAGACTACTATGACAACCCGACATGGACTAAAACAAGAAGACGACGAAGGAATTTCGGTGTTGGCCTCCCATCTGTCTCATCTAAAAGTTGTAATTAACGAGGCAGCTTCAGCCAATCGTTGGAGCCAGGTTGCATTAGCCAATCGTTGGAGCCAGATTACATCAGCCAATCGTTGGAACCAGACTGCATCAGCCAATCGTTGGAGCCAGATTGCTCAAGCCAATCGTTGGAGCCAGATTGCTTCAGGCAATCTTTGGAGCCAGACTTCTAATTCTCAAGATGATATCTAAGCCTGGCAAAGAGGTTCTGCTGTACCTCAAGTTCCGATCCAAACAACCAGGATGTCTTCAAGGCCTGCATGATGCCACTGATTGTGCGGTTGAATAGCAACACGCGAAACATGAGGCAATGCACACTCTGAAGATGTTGTTTTATTATTTAGGCAATGAATGCCATGACTCCTAATTTCGCACAGGAATACATGCTGCACCAGGTTTATATGGCCACCATCACCATCACAATTATCATCATCAACATCATCATCTGGTTATGTCAAAAATATATGTTACAAAGGGCTCGCAGTCTATGCCTCTATTCTGTTCTATCCTTTACAATCCTTTCGACGTCATAGATGGAATCCTGTCCAGCATCTTTAGTCTCTCTCATTAACTTTCGTTCTATGGTTTCTCTTTTTATGTCCTAATTTTTTAAACTAATCTGTTTCACATTTTAATGCCTGTCTAATGATTCTCTGCTAGTTTCTTCTCGGAATACTCCCAGAAACGTTCAGTCTTCATTATCTGATAACTGGTAAAGCCAGTGTTTGTCCAGACATTGCTTTTATTTCTTCTTTGAAACCATAGATATGATTAATAACAGTTACCAAAGACAGCTAGCAATAACACTGACTAGAAGACAGCTAGCAATAACACTGACTAGAAGACAGCTAGCAATAACACTGACTAGAAGACAGCTAGCAATAACACTGACTAGAAGACAGCTAGCAATAACACTGACTAGAAGACAGCTAGCAATAACACTGACTAGAAGACAGCTAGCAATAACATTGACTAGAAGACAGCTAGCAATAACACTGACTAGAAGACAGCTAGCAATAACACTGACTAGAAGACAGCTAGCAATAACACTTATCAAAGACAGTAAGCAATAATCCGGAGCAAAGAAAGTTGGCAGTAAAAAGGATACAAGACAAAAAGCAATAATACTGACAATGACAGTAAGCAATAGAAAGATTACAAACCAGTAAGCAATGAAACGGACAGTAAGCAATACTGACGAAAGATATTGACCAAAGACAACGACCAATAATACTGACCAAAGACAGTGAGCATAGCAGAAGTGCTGGTGCGTCGCTGTGCGATGTTGCTAGCTCCGCATGTGTAGTTTCCGGTGTCAGTCTTCCTGGCTTGGTTGATGATGAGGTGGCCTTCGCTGGTAATGATGAAGTTCACATCCACGTCCACGTTGATCTCCACGTTATCTTTCAGCCAGAACACCTGGTGAATGAGATGAAAGTGAAAACTATGTTATCTTTCGGCCAGAACACCTGGTGGATGAGATCAAAGTGGCCCGTATTTCTAGCGTAGTTGGCTAAACCGGATTGCGCGGTGAGCGGGTGTCGAACTCCTTGTGGTCCGGGTTCACTCCCGGGGGTGGGCAAAAAATCCACATTTCTCCCAGATTTACGGTATTTAAAATGGAATCAAGGCCGAAAGGTTGTTATATCCATAATACCGAGCCTAAGGGTTAACAACTCATGGCTTCTGGATACTAAAACAAACAAACAAACATGAGATAAAAGTGAAAACTATGTTATCTTTCAGCCAGAACACCTGGTGGATGAGATAAAAGTGAAAACTATGTTATCTTTCAGCCAGAACACCTGGTGGATGAGATGAAAGTGAAGAAATCATGCACACGAAATGACAGTGAAGTAGACAGCAAAGGTACCTTTTCCACAAATGAATGATAGTGAGCATATGGTGTTTACCCCGTGTTTGTTACCCAGTCACACTCAATGGGTTTTTGGGTCAGAATCATGCTGGCATCTGTACTTTCCAGGACATGTCCTAATCTCCTTAGTGCCAACTCTGGTTACTTGAGATCACACTCTGCCACTGAAATTTTTATATCTCCGTTAAAATACTGTTGATAGTGGTGCTGTGGTTTGCAACGAAGCTGCGATACCTGCCCCATTCTACGCAAAAAACTTCTACGACTTCAGCAAAAACCCATAGTTAATGGTCTTTTACGACATGCTTGTTGAATGAAGTGACAATTTGTTTCACATACCCCAATCCCCCAAAGGGCAATGGGACTTACACACGAAGCCACTAGACTAGGCAGAAACTCTCTAGAATCTAGGCGACCCTCTGTCCAATGGAACTTACACACGAAGCTAGAAGACTAAGGAGGTTTTGAGGTTTTGAACAACGGATTAACATCATGGCATACGGGTAGTAACCCATAAGTGCTCCGTTCTTCTTCTAACTCAAGTCTGAGTCCGAGGAAGCGCAGCACAGTGCACAGGCTCTGTAGCACCGGCGGGGATTATACTAGGGAGAGACTATCTAGAATCTAGGCGACGCAATACTCAAACGATCAGAACACCCGTGCATCTCACCTAAGAGTTAAGCATTAACCTTCCAGATGATTCCCAAACCACAGTTTGTTCCGTTTTCGGGTTTCTTCCCGACGGTTTGACCTCCCTGAGATTGCAAAATCGTTGTCTGGGTGGCAAAACCAACATGGCAATGCCCCGTTGAACCTCAACAGAAATTATAATTAAAGCTCATATAACAGCTACCCCCTGTGGGGTCAGAAGGTCGTGAAAATCTGCAGCACCAACCAAAGAAAGACGAAAACCACAATTTCCGCTCTACATTCGTACCCCACAAAAAGTATTTAATTTTTCACGCATTGCTATTTCAAATTCTCCTAAGACATATGGTCTCTGCTCCAGCCTAACACTATTTCCGGTTACAGGTCAGACAGCAAGGTTTTCACCGAAATCTTGGGAAATAATTAGACAGGCCTGGCAAACTGTCATAACACACTGCCTGATGGCATATCTGCCACACGATTACCTGCCCCTCTAGGGACAATTATCTCCCCCTGTATGACCGGCTTCCTGCAAGCAAATGTTGCCATTGGGTAAACACATCCGCAAATTAACAACAAATGGCAGATAGTGTGCCTTGCATAATATAGCAAACATCTACTAGTCCAAGCCGTAGGGGACATCTTCAGGTAATTGCTATGAAAACCTGTTACCTGTGAGATATATATATATATATATATATATATATATATATATATATATATATATATATATATATATATATATATATATATATATATATATATATAGCATTAATAAGAAAGGAAATTAGAACATTTAGTCTGCATCGTCTACTTCTTCTTCTTGTTATGTTGTTAGTTTTAAATGTAATGAACAAACAGACCATTTTTTGTTATTCTGAAGCACCACCCTGACTGTTGCCGGGGGCCCTAATATATCCCAACGGTTGAACGGGGTTTCTGGGAACTCTTCAAGGGTGATCCTCATCCGCATGGTGGCACTTTGTGTTTATCGCTGTGTGATGTCCTGGTGGGGTACAACTTACTTACTCACAGACAATGTATTGATCGGCACTCATAGAAAGAAGTAGAAAGATACACACCAGACAACATAACGATCGAACGGCCGCAAAGGTTCCCCCTCTGTTTATTTATTTGTTATTCGTTAAGAACTGCAATCTCCTGACAGAAAGTTCAGCTTTTTCGTCCACTTCTTAAATGTAGTCTTGTTGCAGAACTGGAATTTTCGCTAACTTGTATGCAAACCTTTAATCGCTCTCATGCATAAGCACTACGACTTCGGCGGACACAAATTTCCAAGTAGTGGCCTTTTACGACATACTTGTTAAACTGCCTTGGTCTTAACCCCACCCCCACCCCCCAATCCCTCAGCCGCCTCAACCACTCAGAATGGAGCAGCGGAACATACACGGAGTTCATCGTTATAATGTGTCACTTTGCTGTTAAGCCAACATCCAATCTAAGTCACAAAAACACGTCCATCTTCAATCGACCGATTGATCAGTTTGCCTTCACTCTGCTACATTACAGTTCACTATAATTACGAAATCTCAGTTAGGATGGAAAACAACAAGGTAGATCCCAAGGACACGGCTCCGTCTGGATGGAAACCAACAAGGCAGATCCCAGGGACCCGGCTAAGTCTCTAAAGACGTTACAATTAGGCAACCCGTAACGTCTACCCGAGCCACCTTAACAACCCTAATCGTTTCATTTCCTCCCAGCACCAGACAGATGGAAAGGCCGGTTGACCGGCAGGCAGACATGCAGCTAGATAGATAGATAGATAGATAGATAGATAGATAGATAGATAGATAGATAGATAGATAGATAGATAGATAGATAGATAGATAGATAGATAGATAGATAGATAGATAGATAGATAGATAGATAGATAGATAGATAGATAGATAGATAGATAGATAGATAGATAGATAGATAGATAGATAGATAGATAGATAGATAGATAGATAGATAGATAGATAGATTAGATTAGATTAGATTAGATTAGTGTGATGACCCTGCTTTGCATGGTCTCCACGAGTACATTGTGGCAAGCAGGAAGTCCGTGCTACAAGTGACGGCACGAGATACTTGTGGCCGGTGGAGTAAGCGAGGCGAAGCCCGAGCTAGCCTCGAGGTCAGTCGATCATGAGAAGTCAGAGTAGACGTTGTAGTAATTGAAGATGTAGTTTTTATGTCGCGAGAATGGTTAATGTTCAAATATGTCGCTAGTGGTAGAATTGAGAATAATTGTTTGAGCACGTTGAATACATGGACCAGAATAAACTGACAGATTGTACAATGAAGCTGAGTGGCGTTAGTGTGTGTTGTCAACCCTAGACGTTAAAGTCGGTGTAAGCCAAGGTTCTCTCCAAGCCGAACCACGATTCATTCCAAGTTGAATCAGCATCATTCCAAGTCTACGTTTCGGTTCATTCCAAGTGGGGTGCTTGTCCGAAGGAAATTCGAAACCACGCGGACCATAAGCATAGGAAAACATTTTTGTTTCTTCCAAGGTAAGACAAACATACGGAAAACAGTGTACATCGTCTTTACCCGAGCAGAGCTTATTAACACAGCAAGCGCCGACAGGTCAGCTGCCGACCAATGAAAACCGGTGTGTCATCAACGCCCCGCCACACACCGTATCACTCAGTTTGGCGAATTCAGGAAGTTTCATGTTTACCAAAGGTACATATCGTAAATATTATAAATCAAGTTTGTGAATTAAATCAGATTTGTGACGATTATTGTTTCGGAAACCAGCAGACTATGAACTAATTTTATTTACAAAGGTATGCTAAGTTTTCTTACTGCGGTGACATTTTTTGCATTGATGTACGTTTATCAGAATGTCGTCTAAAAGGTTGGTAAAAAGTAAGAACACTGTCTTGCAAGTATCTTCAGCGACAACAATGAAAGATACATCAATAAGTAACCAGAAGATCAAGATGTGCATTTTTTGTAAGTACCAGCACAGTTCTGCAACTATCTGCGACAGAGATCCTAAATATTCAAGTTATATTGAAGACTTGGTCAATAAAAAGTGGCAAAATAAACAAAATAATAACCTTAAAAAGTGCCACTTTTGTAAGGCATTCGGACATATTGTAAAACACTGTGTTGGGAAACAGATGTTAAAAGACAAAAAAAGATCCTTGTTTGCAAAAACTAATTCAGTTACAATGGATTCAGAAGGTATTCCTACTCTAGATTGTGCACTGTGCTACTGGAGAAAGAATCAAGGAAAAGTTACAGCTCCACATATCATGTTTATAGGAAAAAGCCAATTGAAATGTCCAGGAACTGAAAAGATTAAGAACGAAATTGTGATTGCAGAATTAGAATCCAGCAAGAGTAGTAATACAAGCAAGAAAGTTGAAACGAAAAAGACAACAGCCACTGAAACAGAGAAAAAGTCAAACTCAGAAACAATGAAAATTAATCAAGCAAAGGATATCACTGTTCCAACAACGACATCAGTCGAGACAAAAGCAACTCAGTGTATGAAAAAGACAGATTGTGAAATAATAGATAGGCAAACTGTGGATAAAGAATTTTCATTCTTAGAGGCTAATAAATATATAGATTATGATCAATTCCACAGAGCAACAAGTCAGAAATATTGGGAAAAGTCAACTAAATGTTTGATAAACAAGAAACCAGCACAAATGCAATTAAATAGAAAATCAAATATCACTTTGGTACGTGAAAAGTTTTTAGAAAAATCAGATTATAGCGGAGAAATGGTTTACTGTATAAACAGAGAAGATTTTTTTATGCGATTTTGGACAGCTTATATTTATTTGAAGTCGCCCTATATATCAAGACCATTGAAAGTAGTGGTAACGGACAACATCGGAACAGATGTGATTCTGGGATACAAAGACCT